GGGGTGGACTCTCATCTCGTAAAACGCAATGCTTGCGACGTATCTCCACAACAGAGAGTTTGACCTTGTTGACTAGACCTTCTCGTCAATGCCGGTCAGAGACTCTGCGTCGTGGTCAGCGCTCCTCGCTGCAGTTGCGGGGAGAGGGCAATTTGGAAGAGCCGAGTGTTTGCACGACACAATGCCCAAGAGGGGCATTGCCGCTTGGAACACAGTTCTAGCAATGAACTCGATCAATCAGTGAGGATCCCAAGCGGCAAAGATGAAGCTGGAAGAGAATCATAGCATGAATGAGGTGACTATCAATACGGGGAGCTGGTGCTCGTGGGATTGTACCGGACCCTCGTTTCGTAGCGCAACGGACTTGGAGTTCAGTGCGTGTTGCTGGGGTCTACTCAAGCAGGTTATCGGGCTTCCAGGTGGAGCTTCAGCACTGGATTACAAGATCCCAGCACAAATCAGCATTACTGCTGCTTGATGCTTTATAATTAAAATTGTACATCTAAATCTACTAGTATCTAGGAATCTCGATAGTCAAGTAATTTATATTTCCTTAAAACGGTAAAAATTATTTCTATAGATTTACTAGTTTTTTTTTTTATAATTTAGTTTTATGTTAATATCTGTAATTTCATTAAATTTCTTCCATCATAATTCTATTAATTACTATTTATATATACATTCCAACCACAACCCTTGGAAACAAAACTCCCTTCTAATAGCATTTAACCTTGTTATTGTGAAATCAACTTGTTTGGGGCTAAATCTTGGTATTAAACCATAACAATTGAAATTAAATAATAAATTAATTGGCAAAATAAATTTGATAGAATAATCATTATTACCATAGAGAAGTGAGTTAGATAATTTGCCCAACTATATATTAAATTTATAATAATGATTATTAAGTTAAATAGAAATTTGAAAATATAATATTCGAGTGCCTATTTTAGGAACTTCCTATGAAATTCTGAATTTTTTAAAAGTTTTTTACTTTGCTTGAAATATAAACAACATATTAAAGAAAAGTTTAACAAGAAGATTCAAATTTCTAAAAGACCAAAATAGAGTCATGCTTAAAGAAGAATATATGATGTTTTATTGCAAATCATAGTAGTGGTGTTGCCAATGTCAATAAAATTATTAATATTTAAGATTTTTTAAAATAAATTACTAGCCTTTGGTTGCTTAAGCAAATCTATAAGATATACCTAAAATATGTTTGGATATTTTGGGATATTCTACCATATAACAGTTATTATTTTTTATATTAATCTTGTATTTATAATTAATAAGTATAAATTACAAATTTCCTGAACACTTTCTAGTATATTCTACTTTATTTTATCATTTATATGTAATAGAATTAATTTTTCATTTAATTGAAGCTTAAATCATGTATTGGTCTTATAAAGTTATATATATTTATTTCCTCTAAAAAATTGAAATGAAAGTAGAGAATTGCATGTATACAAAAGTGTAAACAATAAAAAAGAATGACTTAACAAACTATTAATAAGGGTTTAAATATAAAGATAAAGAACTTAGAAATAAAAGTGCAATATTTTTTTTAATCAGTTAAAAGTTTTAGGAGATTTAGGGTTAAGTGTTAAGTTTATTACCAGAAAGAAAGGAACTATTTATTATTATCGTATTATAATAATTAATAAGTTTTTATTTAATCAATAAATAATAAGCTCTACTATTAAGCACTCCCACACTTGGATTAAAGCTTGAATTGTGCATAGATGATGGAATATGGTGAGAATGACATATAAAAAACTCATTAATCAACTACTCAAAGATTTGTTCTTAGTCTTCAAATATTATTGATTCAACCTTGCATCTAGCATGTGGTCTTGGCCTTGAACTGTTGTCCTTTGCTAACTCACACATTAATCTTTATATGCATTCTTCTTAATTGTTGGAAATGCCTGCAAAGAGTTGCATACAATATTCTTGAATTTTGACTCAATGAGGCAAGATTCTTATTCATATATCAAGTTGCTACATTAATTTGCCCTTCCTAAATTTGGACTTCTGCATTATGATAAACACTTAAGTAGTGGCTTCCCAAAGAAAGTTTAATAGGTAATATTCCCAACAAATGAGCTAGGCTAGATAATCTCCCCAACACAACAAATGAGGTTGTCAAGGAATGGGAGGCGAAATCACACAGTCATAGTAGAGGAGAGGAGTAGACATAAGGCATATGGAAATGCCTCAATTTCAACAAAAGGAGAACTACTTCAGCTTTAGTGGCCCATATCTTTTATAGGTAAGTTTGTAGTTGCCACATTGCATGATAAAGGAACCCAACATGGAAGGAAGATATGTTGTTAAATTGCTGATAAATCTATGTATTTATAGGGTGGATAGAGGGAGAGTTCAAGGGGGGAAATGGTTATTGAGCAAGTTATGAGTTGGGAGTCAAGTTAATTCAAGGGGGGTTCTTTAGGATATGGGACATCTTCTTATGTATTGCGCAGGCTTACACCTGTTTTAGAATTGCTACAACATAGCATGCCCTATATCAATATTATAAAATACAATCATATTTTGATTGCAACTATAGCAATCAAAACATGATTCTGTCAATTATAATATTATGTAGAATAAAAGAAAAATACTCCCAATCATGTTTTGATTACAATATATAGCTATATTTTAATGTACTAATAATTTTTTGGGTGTTGAATAGTATTGCTATTCCTATATAGTATTTTATTTACTAATCTATGGAAGTTTATAATTATAAACATGTTTTTAATTTATAAATGCAAGAATAATCTTATTGCTAGAATAAAAAAGAATATACTAGGAAGTATTAACTGTTAAAGGTAGAATATCCCAGATTATTTAAGTATTTTCTAGGTATATCCTAAAAAAACTAGAATATACTAGAAATATTTTATAAACTATATAAACAAAATTAATCTATATGAATAACAATAATATCCCAGAATCCAAGTAAAAATACAATCAATAAATATAAAGTTTGTGTAATAAAACTTATAAACGTGAAGTTGTTTATTTTTAAAGCATTTAGGGCCATTCGTGTTGAGCAGCCCTGTTCGAGATGTCCGCGACTAATCCAGCACTTGCTTGTTGGCTATGTCGGAATGGAGGTGCTTGGCTTCTGCTTCATGGTTGGATCCAAGCGGAAACGTGCTCCATAGACAAAGCATGGAAGAGGTAAGATTCAGCTAGACAATCTATACGAGCGCGGTGGTCAGATGAAAAGCATCGACAACGTCAACCACACGAACGCCAACACATTTCTACAAAGCCTCTCCCTCTCAGCGCTATTGACAACGATCTGCCGCATGAATCGACAGTTCCCGTGGCTCGGATCATCCCTTACGACTCTGCCAAACTCGGGATCACAGCTGCTGGTGGCCTGGTCATTGAGCTGATAGTTGCTGTTGAAAGCATAGCTCGCTCGCTCGCTCACGGTGAGAAAGTTGCAAGAGCCACCTTCGAAGAGAGGACTGCAGTCTACTTGCTGGCAAGTGGCATTGATCCTCTGCTCCAGCCCGTCCGTGGCGTCGTTTGAGACGCACCACCTCGCAGGCATGTACTCGACGTCTGGGACGTTCTCCAGCTCTCTGGCACCCAACAGCGTAAGGCCATACTTGCGAGTTCCATCGTACTGGAAGATCCCCCAGTGCCGCTCGTAGCCTGGTTTCTTGCGGTCTTCATCCACCAGGCTGAAGATATATGCGTGGAGCTGGCCGGGCCTCAGCGGGGTACCTCTGGAGCTTTCAATCCGCTTCACCAGGCCTTGGTTGAATCGCTCAGCGTTTTGCGGATTCGCCTGAAGGTTGCAGTCGGTCGGCCATCCGGTTCCTCCGACGATGATTGGCATGTCCGGGAAGCCGGCTTGTTTCAGAGCCGACACCACAGTGTCGAAGATGGCGTCGAAGGCGTTGGTGTAGTTGTTGCCTTGGTCCTGTTGAAATGGGAAATCGCCATCGAAGAAGGCAAAATCGAGGGGAAAGGATGGATCCTTCACCGAGCTGATGAAGGGGTGGATGTTGACGGTGAAAGGCGACTTTGAGTCGGAGAGAAGCTCCAAGATGGTCTTCATCTCGTCGGGGCGGATGAAATTTCCAGTGGAGGGTGTGAAGGAGTTCGAGGTAACGATGCCAGCGCTGAAGGGAATGGTGGTTTTGATATCTCTGGTTCTTGTCTGCTTGTCGAGCGCAGCCCGGATGTTCTTCACTGCTCCAACAACAGCGTCGAGTCTCACATCGTGTAGTGGTTCCTCGCCAACAGCGACATATCTGTTTGACAACCTCTCAGATCAACAAACGATCACAAACAGGAAGACAAAAAGAAACAAAAGATATCACCTGATGTCTACTCGTCTCTTGGGGTACTTGAGGTACCAAGTTACGTTGCTCTCCACCCAGTTGCGAGCAGCGTGCATGCTCGAGGACAGCGTCTCCAGCATGGTGTTGGGAATTCCAACCATGACTTCGATGTTGGAGCCTGCCAGTGCGTGGAGGACGGAGGCGTCCGTGTCAAACATCTTCACTCTCGTGAAGCTGTTCTTCTGGAGCATTTTGACAACGCTCGGCGCGTGGAGGGGGTGAGATACCTGCGTTCCCCAGTTGACACCAACCTGAGCTCGACTTGATCCAACTAGCAGCAGCAGCAGCAGTAGCGACAGCGTTGTCGAGAAGTCCAGCCGGACCAACATCACTACGAGCAGAATCGACCATCTCCAAACGTCCTATCTCTCCCACCTCGGTCCGAAGAGTAGCGGCTGTCATCCTTAAAACGCACTGCTACTCAACTCCTTGCTTGACTTTGGTTTTACCTCTACCTTGATCCCGGGCTTCGTAGAGATCAATGCAACCATGGATCTTACCAGAGGTAAACGTTCGCAATTCACATCACGACGGAAATCACGAATGAAGCTCTTTTTTCTAACCAGAAGAACAAACTGCTAGGACCAGAGATAAGCTTTTGGGAACACAAACTCTTTCGTTTGCTTAAATTTCTCTTATCACTACAGCGAGAACGATGGCGAACACCATCATGGCAAACGCTCGAGGACGCTCTAAAGTAACTCGTGAAGAGTGCGATGCGACGACTTTCAGCTTGATCTGCCGGATGAATCGGCAGTTCGGCGTGCTGGGATCGACACCGGTGATGATCCCGTTTCCTTGGAAGTCACAGCTGCTGGGAACTTGGTCCTTGAGCTGGAAGTAGCTGTTGAACGCGTACGAAGCGGCCTGCTCGGGAGAGAGCGTCGGGTAGCAAGAGCCGCCATCCGGGACGAGCGGCGTGCAGTCGGCTGCCGAGCAAGCGAAATCAATCTGGCCTTGCGGGACTGCTATGCCGGGTTTCAAGACGCACCACAGTGCCGGGTAGTAGTCAACGCCACCGACTTTCTCGAGCCCCGACGAGCTTCCGCTCGTGTTGAGGAGGTACTTGGGCTGACCATCGTACGTGAAGAGACCCCAGTGACGCTCGAAGTTACCCGGGGCGATGCTCTTGAGGTCCTCGTCGAAGAGGCTGAAGATATAGGCGTGGAGTACAGTTCCTGGCCGCATTGGCGTACCTGGTGGAGAGGGCCTGTGGATCCAGAGGTGGAAGAACTTAGAACACTCGCAAGATCGAACTAGAAGTTGGCATGAGATACTTACGAGATGATTCGACTGACCAGAGCCTGGTTGAATCTCCTCGCGTTGGATGGTGTCGCGCTCGGGAAACCATCGGTCGGCCACCCGGCCTCGCCCACGATGATCTCCATGTTTGGGAAGCCCGAGTCCGTGAGAGCCGCGACCAGCATGTCGAAGGTGGCATCAAAGACGCTCCTGTAGGTGCTCTGGCCGTATTGGACCTGGAAGCACCCGTCCAGGAACGCATATTCACTGGGGAAGTTTGGATCCTGCGCCAGGCTGATGAAAGGATAGAGGTTGATCGTGAAGGGGGCTCCGGTGCTGGCGAGAGCTTTCACAATGTCGTCCATGAGCATCTTGATATCGTTCCTGAAAACTCCGGTGGATGGATCTTGGTTGCCGGGGTCCCGGGGCTGCAACACATCGGCATTGAGTGGCACGGTGGCTTTGATCTGGTCCGCGAACTTGGCCTTGGAGAGCGCCGCCTGGATGTTCTTCAGTGCTGGGAGGGTCACGCCCTCGAAACTTTTGTTGTAGCCCGCGAGAAAGGGCTCGTTTCCGACAGCGACATACCTGGGTCAAGTAAGCTTACCCTTCAGTCATCAGTCCACTCTGGTAAATTCTCAGTAAGTTGGTCACAACTATAACTCTCAGTCCACTCGTTCGTTAGTCGACTTCAGTCAACACCTTTCACTCAACACTCCATCCATTTCCTCCTCTAGTCAACGTTAGTCCACACTTCTCAACAGTCAACTGATATAGTCTACGTTAGTCCGCTTCACAGTCAACACACACTTACCTGATATTGACCCTCTTCTTGCGGAGGTAGTAGTGCGTGACGTTCATGAGCACCCAGTTGCTCGCGGCGGCGGCGTCGGTGGCCAGCGTCTCCAGCATGTCGTTTGGGATGCCCAGCATCACCTCCAGCGGTGAACCCGCCAGAGCGCTCATGATTCGGGGCTCCGCCTCGAACAGCTTCACTCGTCCCACATTGTTGGAGACGAGCGCGCGAACCACGTCCGGCGCGAACAGCGGGTGTGACATCTGGGTTCCCCAATTCACGCCGATCGTTCCACTCTGATGCCGCTGATCTGCCGGTGATGGTGGTTGCTGTTCTTGACCTTGTGGTGGTGGCGGCAATGGCTGCTGTTGATCTTGTGGTGGCGGTGGAGGTGGCTCTTGATCTTGGCCTTGTGAGGGTGGCGGCGGCGGTAGTGCCTGTTGATCTTGCGGTGGTGGTGGTGGCAATGGCTCATAGTCATCGGTTTGAGCAACAGTGCTAACAAAGCTATGACCATCACAAGAAAGAAGGAGAAGAAGAAGAAGAGCCAACATCAATCTCGACATGATCTATGGAGAGAAATCTTCCATGTTCGTGCATTTCTTGGTCCCCGGCCATTGCGTAGCTTGACCGGAAATTTTCCAGCTTGAATCTCTTATGCTTGCTCCGCGATCCAAGCCTTGAACGATTCCTTCCACTCCAATGACAGTTGTCGCGGCAGCTGGAAACGAGAGACTTACACTCGAGTGTGACGCCTGGATCAAGTCTTGCCGCAGCTTGGCCAATCTCCAAGCGATCCACAAGCGGATCATCCTCCGCCACGGCGGCCTCTTCCTCGATCGCAACACCGGCCTCTCAAATCTCCTGCTCCAGCGCTATGCCCGCTGCGGCAGCCTTGATCACGCGGAGCAAATCTTCGCCGCCATCCGGGACAAAGACGTCATCTCCTGGAATGCCATGCTCTCCGCATATGCCCGGACGGGGCATCACACCGCCCAAGCCAAGCTCCTCTTCGACTCCATCCCCGACCGCGATCGCGTCTCCTGGAACGCGATGCTGGGCGCCTACGTCCACGCCGGAAACCTCCAGGAATGCAAAGACATCTTCGATAGATTTCCGGAACGAGACATAGTTTCATGGAACTCTCTCCTTGCGGCATATGCCCAAAAAGGGCAAATGGACAAAGCCCAAGTTGTGTTTGATCAGATGCCCGAGAGAGGCCTGATCACCTGGAACACAATGCTGGCAGCAAACTCCAGAAACAACCATGTCGCTCAAGCCAAGAAACTCTTCGACGAAATGCCGGAGAGAGACTATATCTCCTGGAACACGATGATGAACGCATATACCCAAGCCGGGCATAGTCGCGAGGCCAAAGAGCTCTTCGACCAAATGCCAGCGCGGGATATAGTTTCATGGAACGGGCTTCTCATCATGTACGGGACGAGTGGCAAGACCGACCCGGCCAGAAGCGTGTTCGACGCTATGCCGTACAGAGATCTCGTCTGCTGGAACGTCATGGTCTCTGTGTATGCCCAGTCCGGGCATCTGGATCCTGCCAGGGAGCTGTTTGATCGCGCGCCGGAGCGAGACATCGTGGTGTGGAATGCGATGCTATCGGCATACGCAAAAGCAGCAGCAGCGGCATACAATCGCAAGCGCCAGAGAGACGTCACACTCAGCAAAATGGTAGTCGACATCAAGCCTGTGGGAGCTGATGGCTCCGAAGTCCATCCCACCACCTTTGCCTCCAAAGAAAAAGATAGTGAAATCGAGGACGAGGACGAGGAGGAGCGGCGGCGATGCCACCGGGATTTGGAGGCGGCGCGGGAGCTCTTCGATGCAATGCCGGACCGAAATGTGATCTCCTGGACGACGATGCTGACGCTGTACGCCCAGAGCGGGCATGTCGGTGAGGCCAAGCGTATCTTCGATCACGCGTTGATGCCCGAGAGGGACGTAGTTTGCTGGAACGCTCTCTTGGCTGCCTACGCGCAGGCCGGGAACACCCCGGCTGCCACCCGGATCTTCGCGCTCATGCCTTCGCGCAACCTCGAGTCCACCAACGTCATGCTCGCGATGCTGTTCCACAGCTCAAACTCGCGATCCATCGCTCGCGGGCGGCGGATCTTCGCGCGCTCTATCCGCGATGGGATTGCTCCCGACGAGGTGAGCTTCGTCCATATGCTCTTTGCTTGCAGCCACTCGGGCGGATTGAGCGCGGGGCTGCGCTACTTCCGATCCATGGCGATGGATTTTGCGCTGCGCGGGACGAAGCAGCAGTATAGCATCATGATCGATATCATTGCCCGCGCTGGGCATCTGGAGGACGCGCGCGAGCTCATCACAAACATGCCGTTCTTGCCCGATTCTCGCGACTGGACGAGCTTGCTGGATGCTTGCCGGAGTAGCAGTGGCAAGAGCGCCATGAAAGAGCGCGTGATCGACGTTGCCAGGCACGCGATTCGATCGGATCCACGGGACTCGGCACTCTACGTTTTGAGCACAAACAATCTTTGATTTCCTCGAGAGCTCATCGATAATGAATGGAAATAATTCTTACAGTATCCCCGGACGATCAAAACACCCTCTCAAGAACATATTCCACCATCTTTTCCAGCGAGCTCCTGGCCGCTCCCACTGGCAGGCACTCGAGAGCCTGGATCGCGAGCTCGGCCTTTTGCTTGGCCAGCTCCATCGCCCTGTCGATCCCTCCGCCTCTCTTCACCAGCTGGACTGCGGACTCCAGCGATCCCTCGTCCGTGAACTCGGAGTCGATCAGCTTCCTCAGCTCCGGCTCCTTGTCCAGGGCAAACAGTGCCGGGGCTGTCAAGTTCCCCTTCGCTAGATCGCTTCCGGCGGGCTTCCCGAGCTGTGCCGTCGACTGCGTGAAGTCGAGGATGTCGTCCACGATCTGGAACGCCAAGCCCAGGTACTTCCCATAGTCGAACATCTTGTCACAGACGCTCGGGTCGGCACCGCTGAAGATGGCGGCCGAGCGAGTGCTGGCTGCGATGAGAGAGGCCGTTTTGTAGTAGCTCTTGTCCAAGTAGTTGTCTAGCGTGATCTCGGAGTCGAACAGACTCGACGCTTGTTGGATCTCTCCGCTAGCGAAGTCTTTGATCACCTAGATACAAAAGGAGTCCGAGTAAGAGGACGGACGGTTTCTTCGCGAAAGAGTGAGACAAACCTGACTAATCAACTTGATAACTTCGAGGTTGTCCAGGTTTGCCAGGTACCAAGACGACTGCGCAAACATAAAATCGCCAGCTAACACTGCAATTCTAGTTCCGTATAGTTGATGGACGGTTTCTTTCCCTGTGCATAGCCAGCGATCAGTATGTCAATGTCAAAGATTCGAATTCTCACCTCGTCGGACGTCACTCTCGTCCAGGACATCGTCGTGAATGAGGCTAGCTGTGTGTATCATTTCTGTAATTTCCGCTAGTCTTCGGTGCTGTAGATGGATCGTGCTGCCATTTACATATCAAAGACTTAGTACAGTGGAGAGATGAAGAAAAGAGGAAAAGTTACTTGAGACGAGCAAGCTGCATAGTTGCTCTCGACACCAAGAACACGATCGCTGGACGCATTCTCTTTCCACCGGCACCGAAGATCTGCTCCGCGGCTGACATCAAAAGAGGATTTTGCACACCAACGATCTGAAAAAAAAAAAAAACCATAAATTTCTGCAAGCTCAAAGGACGAACAAACTTACAGATTGTAAGTTTTGGTTGAGCGCATCAAGATCACTGCTCACAGGCTCGATAATCTCATTCAAGCTGAGCTTCTCGCGTCGCTCGCGTCGCTGGACGTAAGAAGCCACGCCATTGAGGAATTTGGAATTGGTAGCATCTCCAGCTATCTACCGGAAGCTCAAATTAACACTGGGAAGAGCAAAGAAAGAAAGAAAAAGAAAAGAGCGTAAAGAATTTTCACCTGGTATTGGAGAGGAGGTGTTAACGCTCAAGCTCGCGGGACTCCCGCTAGCAGCCGTGAAAGAAATCGTTGCTCCCTCGGCGACTACTCTTCTCCTGCTCCAGCATTTGGCACTTCTCCTACGGTCGATTGCCCTGCGCTGCTGATAACCTAGGCCGGCATCAGATCCTCTGGCACAGAATGCCGTGCTCGTCATTGCGCCACACCTGGAATGGATGGAATGACACAATCTGTAGACGATGGAATCACACCAAAGATTTCGATTCAGGAGGAGACGACCGCATTTACCTGCCGGATTGCGTTGCTCGGAGCTCGCGAATTCGCCGGATTTCCTCCCTAGAAAGCGCAATATGGCGCCATTGCTCCACCTCACAGAAAATATTTAAGGGCTTTATCCTCGCGAGGAACACATGGGCCATATGGCCGAAACCTTGCCGCCATTGCGCTTATGGACTGTACGTGTCCACGCTCGCAAGCTCTAGAATCGTGCCACGTGTGTGCCAGGATCATTCCCTCCCTTGTCCCTTCCTTACACGCCTCCACGAAGAAGAAAATGATCGTGAGAGAGTTTCTAGCGATGACTCAATGATCGCGACGGCGGCCAGCGCCAAGCAAGACGAGATCAAATTCTTCGCCCGGCTGCTCAAATCCTGCGGCGAATCCAGGAACCTCGCCGAGGGCAAATTCGCGCACTCGCAGATCTCGCGCAGCGATCACGCCAAGAATCTCTTCCTCCGCAATCTCCTCATCGAGATGTATGGGAAGTGTGGCAGCGTCGCGCTCGCGCGGGAGGTGTTTGATTCCCTCGAGTCCCCCAACAAATTCTCCTGGAACATCATGCTCGCGGCATATGCCCACAACGGGGAGTTGCGCGAGGCGAGGAAGATCTTCGAGCAAAACCCACTGCCGGATCCGGTGGCCTCCGCGGCGATGATCCGCGCGTACGCGCTGGCAGACGATCTCGAGCAAGCACGCGCGATCCTCCTCCAAATGCCGGATCTCAACGTAGTGTGCTGCACGATCCTCATCCACGCATATGCCCAGCGCGGGCATCACGCCTCCGCACAAGAACTCTTCGCCCAGATGCCCGATCGCGATGTCACGGTGTGTAACGCGATGATGAAATCACTCGCGGAGGACGATCGGTTGCTGCTAGCGCGCCGGCTGTTCAATCAAATGCCCGAAAGAGATGTGGCGTCCTGGAACACGATGATCCAAGTGAATGCCATTCACGGGCATCTTGGAGAGTCGCGGCGGCTCTTCCGTGCGATGCCGCAGAGGAACATCATCTCCTGGACGGCGATGCTAGCGGCGGAGGAGAGCGATCTCGCCGCCGCCAAGATCACATTCGCGGGGATGCCCGAGTGGAACGTCGTCTCCTGGACGGTGATGATCACGGCGCTGGCACAGGCCGGGCTAGCGCGCGAGGCGGCGGTGCTATTCGCCCAGCTCCCGGAGCAAAACATCGTCTCCATCACCGCCATGATCTCGGGGCTCGGCGCCGCGGGATCGATCGACGAGGCGCGCAGCCTCTTCGATCGAATGCCCGCCCGGAACCAAGTCTCCTGGAGCGCGATGATCCAAGCCTACGCGCAGAATGGCTACATCGACGAGGCGCGATCGATTCTAGACGCGATGCCGGCGATGGATTCCGTGGCCTGGAACACGATGATCGCGGCGTATGCCCAAGATGGGCAAATCGAGGAAGCGCTCGCGATGCTCAACCAGGTCCCCTGCGCGAGCCCACTGCCCTACACGGTGGTGATCTCCGCGATGGCGCAAGAAGGAGCCCTAATCCCCGCCACGAAGCTCTTCTCGCGGATCCCCAACCACGACACGGTCTCGTGGACGGCGATGGTGGCGGCGAATGCCCAGAACGGGCATGGCAGGGCGGCGCTAGGGTTCTTCCGGGCGATGGATCTCGAGGGCGTGGCGGCGGACGAGATCACGATCCTGAGCGTGCTGAGCGCTTGCGGGCACGAGGGATTGCTGGCCGAGGGCTGGAGCTACTTCGTCCTCCTGGGCGACGATCGGGGGATGGCCGCGAGCGTGGAGCACTTCTACTGCATGGTGGATGTGATCGGGCGCGCGGGGCGGCTCCAGGAGGCCGAGGATCTGATCGCGAGCATGCCATTCGTGCCCAATGTGGTGCCGTGGACGAGCTTGCTCGCGGCGTGCCGGACGCACGGCGATGCGCACAGGGGGGCGCGCGCCGCGGATCGTGTTCTTGAGTCGCGATTTGGGGCGATCGATGTGCCCTACGCGCTGATTTGCAACGCCTACCTCGGCGCTGGGAGGATCCAGGACGCCGAGATGGTGCGCCGGATGATGAGGGAGCAGCAATTGGGGCTGGGCGCGCGGAGGAGGAGAAGAGTCGCTCTCTCGCAAAGTACGGATTGCTTTGCCCTAGAGATTTAGCGCCAAGAGACATTTAAAAACCACTCAAGAAACAGAGTTACATTATTCTTACTAGCACACCATAGCCTTAGTCCTCGCCATAGTTCCTCCGGCCGCCATAGCCAGTGTAGCCTTCGCTCTTGTCTTCCCCGTACTTCTTCCGGCCGCCATAGCCACCATAGCCTTCGCCATCGCCTTCTTCGTAGTTCTTCCGGCCTCCATAGCCTTCTTCACTCTCTTCTTCCCCGTATTTCTTCCGACCACTGCCATATCCTCCACCTCCATAGCCTTCGCCTTCTTCGTCGCCACCATACTTCTTTCGTCCTCCATAGCCTTCGCTCTCTTCATCTCCACCATACTTCTTTCCTCCTCCATAGCCTTCGGTCTCTTCAACGTCATCACCATACTTCTTTCGCCCTCCATAGCCTTCGGTCACTTCAACGTCTCCTCCATAGTTCTTTCGCCCTCCATAGCCTTCAGTCACTTCAACGTCGCCACCATACTTCTTGCGCCCTCCATAGCCTTCGCTGTCTTCAACGTCGCCACCATACTTCTTCCGTCCTCCATAGCCTTCGCTCTCTTCCTCCTCTCCAACATATTTCTTTCGTCCTCCATAGCCTTCGGTCTCTTCCTCCTCGCCACCATACTTCTTTCGCCCTCCATAGCCTTCGGTCTCTTCAAAGTCGCCACCATACTTCTTTCGCCCTCCATAGCCTTCGGTCTCTTCTTCATCGCCACCATACTTCTTTCGCCCTCCATAGCCTTCGCTCACTTCACCGTCGCCACCATACTTCTTTCGCCCTCCATAGCCTTCGGTCTCTTCAACGTCGCCACCATACTTCTTGCGCCCTCCATAGCCTTCGCTGTCTTCAACGTCGCCACCATACTTCTTCCGTCCTCCATAGCCTTCGCTCTCTTCCTCCTCTCCAACATACTTCTTTCGTCCTCCATAACCTTCGCTCGCTTCATCGTCTCCACCATACTTCTTTCGTCCTCCATAGCCCTCGCTCTCCTCCTCATCGCCGCCATACTTCTTTCTTCCTCCGTAGCCCTCGGTCCCCTCCTCGCCACCACCACCTCCATAGCCACCGCCATAACCCTGGCTCTCCTGTTCTTCACCGTATTTCTTCCGACCACCACCATACCCGTAGCCTCCGCTCTCCTCGCCACCACCGTAGCCTTCACTCTCGCCCTGCCCACCACCATAGCCTACATTCCCAGATCCATACTCACTCCCTCCGCCATAGCCAGATCCATCATACCCAGATGAATGCCCGCCATAGCTACTCTTCCCCTGGCCATGGCCGTAGTAAGAAGGCTTGGCAGTGCCATAATCCGTGGCTCTCCCCACATCCACCTCGAAATCCTCATCGCCATACTCACCCGGATCGCCACTGCGAGGGTAGCTCCACTCTTCACTCGCTTCCTTGATGGCGCCATACACAGATCCAATGTCGTAGCCCCCGACGTAGGGCTCTGGATCGAATTCGTCGTGATCCTCAGCATCCTCGCCGCGATCGCCCCCTCGTCCCCATCCTCGAGCCATGATCTCTACACGTCAACAGTGTTCTTCCAATCCGTCAGGGGTTCGAATCGTTTTACAAGAGTGTGCCACGTCATTGCCACGCAAGCGATGCGTTGGCTTGCCACGTCGGTGTGTTTAATAGAAATTGCAGGGTTTGAATTAGGTTATCGAGCTGCGGCAATGGCGAGCGCGATGGCGAGGCGCGTCGCGAATGTCGTGGCCAGATCGCGGATTTCTTCCTTCTATCCACTGCACAAGGCCATCGCCGCGCCGAAAAGCGGTCCCTGGGAGCAGCAGTTGCGGCATCTCAACATCCACGAGTATCAGGTATTTCCTTAGCTCAGTAGCATCCGATCAATCGATCGAGTGAGTCTCATTGCCGTGCCGATCGTCCAGGGCGCCGATCTTATGAGCAAGTATGGCGTGAATGTTCCAAAAGGGGCGGTTGTTTCGTCCAGGAAAGAGATCTCAACCGTGTTGGAAAAGGAGTTCCCTGACAATGAAGAGGTATGGTTTCCAGAGAGGAAGACGAACGTTTTCATGTTTTCTTCTACTTCTTTTTTTCTTTTTCAGCTTGTTGTGAAGAGTCAAATTTTGGCTGGTGGTCGTGGTTTGGGAACTTTCAAGAATGGTTTGAAGGGAGGCGTTCACATCGTCAAACGAGACAAAGTCGAGGAGATTGCAGGTTTGCGATTTCCTTAAGAGACCTTATTTGCTTAAGCACATCTTTCCAGGAAAAATGCTCGGTCAGATACTTGTGACCAAGCAAACGGGACCGGAGGGAAAGCCAGTGAACAAGGTAATGGCTGGTTACAGAAACCCACTCATTGAACTCTTCCTCAGGTTTTCATATGCGAGAAGCTGCAGCTTGTCAATGAAATGTACTTCGCCATTGCTCTAGACAGAGCAAGCGCTGGGCCTGTAAGCTCACCCAATTTTTTTTTTCTCCTCTGATTTACATGCTGTTTTTATACCAGGTTATTATTGCCTGCAGCAAGGGTGGAACAAGCATAGAAGATTTGGCTGAGAAATACCCGGACATGATCATCAAGGTTTTTATTTTCCTCTCTTCAAATTTAGAAGAATGTACTAATTCTAATGCCAGGTCCCTATCAACATCCACAAAGGCATCACCGATGCCGATGCAGAGAAGGTTGTAAACGGACTGAACTTGAAGTGCGCAGATAAAAACGACTCGATGCAGCAAGTAAAGCACCTGTATGATCTTTTCTGCAAATCCGACTGCACGCTTGTGGAGGTGAGAAACTTTGCCCCTAGGCTATAGCCATCTAACCAAGTGCCAATTATGCAGATCAATCCACTGGCAGAGACTGCGGATGGAAAGCTCGTCGCTGCCGATGCGAAGCTCAACTTCGATGACAATGCGAGCTTCCGTCAACAGGAGATATTCGCACTTCGTGATCAATCTCAAGAAGATGCTCGAGAGGTTTGAGACCTTGTTCATAGTTTCACGTTTTAATGCCTGTTCGAAAAACAGGTCGCTGCTGCTGCCGCCGATTTGAACTACATTGGATTGGATGGCGAGATTGGCTGCATGGTGAATGGAGCAGGACTCGCGATGGCAACCATGGATATCATCAAACTGCACGGAGGCTCACCAGCCAACTTCCTTGACGTTGGCGGAAATGCTTCAGAAAACCAGGTACATTATACCACTTTTTCTCTCTGGTCTAGACTCTGTTTGCTACTTCTTTCCAGGTCATTGAAGCCTTCAAAATCCTCACGTCTGACAAGAAGGTGAAGGCCATTCTGGTGAACATCTTCGGTGGAATCATGAAGTGTAACGTGATCGCGAGTGGTATTGTCAACGCTGCCAAGACGGTGCGTCTTTCTCTTCCTCTTGTTCATGTGGATGCATGTGGATGAAGTAAAAAGAACTCTCTGCTCTGGTCCTTGTAGGTGTCACTCAAAGTCCCACTGATCGTTCGATTGGAAGGCACAAATGTTGATCTAGGAAAGAGAATACTAAAGGTAAGCTATATACAACTCCCTTGTTTATAGTTTGGAGGGAGGTTCATTCTTTGTTTGCAGGAGAGTAAGATGAACTTGATCGCTGCGGACGACTTGGACGATGCCGCAGAGAAGGCTGTGGCCGCGCTGGCTTAAAAGGAGGTCAATCCTTCCACCGCAAAGATTTTTGGACGACAATAATTCGGCAAGCAAACCATGTAAGGTTTTTATTTTTGTGGTAACTGATGGCTTGATCATAGGATCTTACCAAAGTTTCAAGGCAATAGACCTTGCTGGCAAGAAATTTATCCGTTACTACCAGCATGTAAAGTTTGATGCGTCATAGCGGATTTTTATGAGATGGAGCGAATTAAAGGAAAGGAATGTGAACGTTTCTCGTGATTCCTAAATTCGAGACTCCACGACGAGCAAGCAATTAATTTAGCGTAATGGCGCTGCTTAAATTCGGCTAATGCCCCAAAGAGCTCCGGTTCTTGAGCGCTCGAGAGGGAGAGTTTGGGAGTTCTCCCTGATTGTCAATCCAATCCAAATCCTTTTCTGTGAGTGCTAGTGATCGATCGCCATGGAGAGGAGCCGGCAGCAATCCATCCAGTTGGAATTGGTAGGGAAGATGGTTTCCAAGGAGCTGTCGCTCAAGTACTCGGATCTCGCCGCCGCTCCAAGCGACGATCTCGCCCTCCACGCGCCATTCTGCTTCCACTTCGCCGCCTTCCAGTGCTACAGCCCCCAGACCGCGCTGTGGCTGCGGGACTTCGATCGCCGCAAGAGTGTGGACGCCGCCCCAAAGAGCACTCCCTCCTCCTCCAGCAAGAGCTACATTTACTACTCCAGCAGCGGCGATCTCTCCTCTCCCTCATCCGCCCCTCCCTCCTCGTCTCCATCCTCCAGGCTCGCGAGGCTCATCTCCAAGAAGAAGAAAGCGCGCGGCGGCAAGACGAAGAAGACGAAGTGGCCATGGCGCCTGTACGACAGTACGGCAATCTCCTTCAAGGGCAAGGTATGTACGGTCTCGCTATGGAGTGGCTAATTCTTTTTTGCTTATCAGGTATCTTGCAGGGCGTTTAGTTGCATGTCGCAAGAATTTCCAGTGCCGCCAATCCATTTGCCCAGGCATATCCCAGAGATGCTCTAAGTGAACAAATTGCAAAGGCAAAATAATTCTATGTTTTAAGATTTATAATGCATTTTAGCAACACTTCAACAAATTTCTCATAGTGTTTTGTTAGTTTCTTCCTTTTGCAAGTCTATCTATCTACTGCCCACTCGGTTGCAGATCCATGTAACATCATCAAGTTCTAAGCGAAGACAAGTCAGACTGCATGGTCTCTATCTAAAAAATGTTCTTTGACACTTTGCAAATAGATGATCAGATGGATAGATAAAATGGTTACAAATAAGAATGGCTAATATGTCACTCATAAAGTTTTACTCGTTGTTGCTCTCTAAATGACTCCCCATTAGTCAGCAACAACTATGATTTAGAGATTTTCAAGGTCAACCTTTAGATGGGTCTTGAATTTCCCCGTGGAGGCCTCTTCAGATCTTAACAGCAAATTTGACTAAAGGCACTTAAGACTTATGGCGCTAAGCCATGGGAAAATGTTGCTCTTAATCAATTTCTTGTTAATACGATGCGCTAAACTTACATAGATAATTGTCCAAAATATTATCAGTTTTCATTTGGTTACGACGATGCATATGGCTGATTGAGCAGGGATTCGTGAACAACAGTGACTAACACGCCCGTCCTGGCATGCTCTTCGCCTTCACACAGGTAGGCAGCCGCTTGCTGTCCTTGCTCAGTTACGAGCTTTGTATTACCCACCATTTGATTGTTGTGAGCTACAAACGAATGATATACGAGCACAGTTTGTCCTTCGACAAAGCAGCTTGGCAAGATCTATGGTCAAAAGCAGAAACTTGGAGCTCAAGTTTCTGCTGGTGTACATAAGGAATTAGGTGATGGATCAAAGTTTGGAAGTATCTGTTCATAAAAGTTTAGTCTTCACAAAGGATGGTATCTCTTCGCTCACCGTTCTCAACGCCTCGAATCAGAACGAGGCTTGAAGATACCTCCGGGAACTGTCGTTTTGATGCTCTTCTTCTCCTGATTACAAGTCAAGTACATATATGAATCACTTTTAAAACCGGGTTGTCTCTTCAGATGATATTAATATCTGCCTGGTTCAATTCTAAACTTTTGCTCCATGATTTGTTTTACCAATTTTTGCTCAAAGTGCTGCTCGTTTGATGCCCTCAAGAAACAATCCAGCGCTCGTCAATGGGTCAACTCAGGTTGACGTGTGAACTTTATCACAAAAGTGCTACATCTGAAGGATTTACAAAACCTTGGATTCAAAGGTCGGATCATTGAATGCTTTGGCTGCTTGTAGTTTGATTTAATGCAAGACAAGTCTGATCCGATGTAGCCACATTATGAATTTGTGTGCTCAAGAATTGCTCGCAGTTCTCAATGCCTCAAATTGGATCTGGGCTTAGCTATTTTGATGCTTTTCGTCGTAGTGATGAAGTTTTACAGCTACTCCTACGTGTAGTTCCATCTAGTCTAGCACCCACTCCATTTAGTCTCACCTAGTTACACATGAATCAATCTTGGTGTTGAATCTTGTATGGTATCATGATTTTTTTCCTGCTCTTTCATGAGATCTTCACTGAATCGATTCATGTGTTTGATTTGATGCCGAACAGGTTGTAGCAAGCAAGCAAGCAAGACTCGCGGACAGAAGATTCAACACTATAATGTAACTCAAGTTAAATAAAATGTAGTCAGGTCCATAGTTAGACATGCCGCAACGCGCTTCCTGTGGTGGCCCCATTGATGAGGACCCATTCCGCCCTTGCTCGCACGCTGGCGCATGCACTCCTTGATCCCGAGCTGGTTTTGGAAAGCTCGCGTTAGTTTTAGCGAGAGGCTTACCTTCTTGGCCACTGCTGTGGCAGTCGTCCAGTTATCTCCAGTCATCATGAGCGTCCTTATTCCCATTTGTTTGACGCCTTCCACGACGATGGCGGCTTCTCGTTTGAGGGGGTCTGACACTGCGAGTGACGGAGGTCGTGGCCAACGGTGACTACTACGCCCGTCCTGGCACGCTCTTCGACTTCATACAGGTAGTTGGCCGCTTGCTGTGATAAGGGAATTCCTTGCTCGGTTACGAGCTTCGTGTTTCCCACCTGTTTGATTGTTGTGAGCTACAAACGAATGATTTGGAAGTGGAAGATATATACCAGCACAGACAATGCAGCTTCCCCCCGTAGAGCTTTCAAATCGGAGAATTTCTTTACCCAGCTGAAATCCCGGGTTCTCGACAGAGGCGAAGGAACCTCCAAGGACCAAATAGTGGTACGCATAGTCGAGAACTGCTCTCGCAAGCGGATGCTCGCTACCAGCCTGTGCAAAACCAGTGACAACTTTCATGAACTTCGAAAGAAAAGAAACAAAGAAAGAGGAGTAGCACCTCAGCAGCAGCAGCAGCAAATGCGAGCATCTCCCGACAGGGTCATTCCGTTCCGTTGAAGGCCTAGTTATCACTGACTGTCTACCATTTCTCAAGGTTCGACACACTGGTGTCGTTCTAATGCGTTGCCACCTTTGATTAAAATTCCGTTGAAACCTCCAACACCGCTACCATGATAGCAGTTACGGAGTAGACTATGCAGACGTAGTTCCAACAGTGACCCATATTGGCCGAGTCACAACGAAGCTAATGATACGCCCCGAGATAGAACTTTCTGCCAATGATAAAGTGCACCGGAGTTACAAGGAGCCAGTTCATCCAGTCACCCATGAGAGAGAAAAGGCCCACAGTGGATGAGCAAAAGCCGATAAGCATCAGATTGCTGGCTTCGAGGTCCATTCTCGGGTACAGGTCGATCAACGGCGAGCCATGGCTTTGTTGGGCATATGGTGTTTCAGCTGCCTTGGTTCTTCAACGTAATTCTGTCGAACAAGCTTCAGCTGCCTTGGTTCTTGCACGTAATTCTGTCGAACAAGCTTCCGCGTACAGGTTGATCAGAGCGCTCTGAAGTACAACACTCGCAGAGACAGCCTGTGCATGAACAGCTCTACCTTTTGCTCCACGTCTCGCAGTGCAACGGGCAGATTCTTTGCTGCCCGCAACAGAGATGCGAATGTAGCCGCCGCAGCTCGTTTCAGCCTATATCCTGGTTTCCGTTGATAAATTGCTCAAACATAAAAAACAGTTTTGGTTTTCATCGCATCTTGTTATAAAATCTCAAATAATCACTGCATCTTGAGATCATCGGCGATTCCGGAACAGAATCTATCTCAATATTGAGAAGAAATTTCCATTATCAATTTCAATGGGTGCTCTAGTTTATAATGAAGTAGATGGCGATTTGGAAATGGTTCCATAAAACTCCACCAAATGAGCCTATAACAGTCGTCAGATCTGCCGATGGTCAATATCAGAAACTTGGATCTCAAGAAACGGTTTCTTGAGCTCCAAGTTTCTGCTGTTTTGTACATAAGACGATGGATAAAATGGAGGCTTCTGTAATCTGTTTCATCTGTATGTTCATACAATATTCTGTGCCTTCTTCAGTCTTCACAAAGCATGAAAGAGGGCAAATGATGAAGCATCTCTTCGCTCGCCGTTCTCAATGCCTCGAATTGGAACGAGGCTTGAAGATACCACGGGGGACAAATTGTCATTCTGATGCTCTCCTCTCTTGATTACAAGTCTAGAACATATGAGTCAATTTCAGACGTGTGGTGGAATCTCTTTGCATGATACTATCTACGTGGTTGAATTCCTTTATTTGTTTTCCGAATCTTTGCTCAAACTGCTGCCCTCAAGCAGCAGGCAGATGATTCAGAGATGTGTTTGATTTAATGCAGGACAGGCCCAATCCCATGTAGCCACAATTTGGGGCAGAAGATTCAACACTGTGCCTTGAGGGAAAATGGTTTCTTGAGTTCCAAGTTTTTGCTGTTGTATACAAAACCTAGGATTTAATGAATGTATGAGCTCATGGATCATCGAATGCGCTTGTATTCGGTGCTGATTTGATTAGAGATTCATCTGTATATGTGCTCAATAGAAGGAACGAGGCAAATGATGAATCATCTCTTCCCCGGATCGGAACGAGGCTTGAAGATGGACAAACTGTCATTGCCATTGTCATTGTGTGTTGGATGGTGATCGATCTTTGTCCCTGTTGCAACCTTTTACTCCATGATTTCTTTTTCATGCTCATTGGATGAGATCTTTACTAAATGATTCTACAATGCATCAACTTGATGCCTTCCCACGAACATAAAGACAAAT